AAAAAAAAAAAAAGAACAAAAAAGAACAAAATATATAGCCAAATCTCTCAGCCTGGCATTACGGCTTTGCTTAAATGAATACTGGTGAATCAAAAAAGGATGCACTGAGAACTGCAATGCTGTGCAAGAGAAAAGACATAGGGACTAATATGCCTTTTGTGGCAGGATACCACAATATTAAAAAAAAGAAAGTGCATTGGGGTACACACAGTAGAGAGCTCAAATGGAGGACAAACAATTTCCTCTAAAAGATTTTTAAAAAACAGCTAACACATTTCCTAAATAACTAAAGTACTGTAGCCAAAAGATAATTACATTTGATCAAGACTAAACTGATTTGCTAAACAAGTTAAATATATCAACAGACAAACTGAAAACAAACAGGTATACTGGCATACAGCCAAATACAAATGCTGTACATCAATTAACAAAAAGCAAATGAACCATAATTAATGCAAACATCCTTTTAGGACCTGTCAGCTTGACAAAAATGTGAATTTAACCTTTCATACATTGTATTATTGAATCTCTGTTTATATTAACTGTAACACCTATAATGTAGAAACATAAAAAATACTATTGAATTCAAGTCATTTTATGACTTAGTAATGCCTGCAATAGAATTTCACATTTCTCCTTCTGCATCTCAGGTTTTTCTCAAAACCACTCACTGTAATGTTACTGTAACGCCCTGCAAAATGACATGATTGTAAGACATACTGCTAGAAACTTACACTGAATGCAGTGTAAATCTGCAGAGCACCTTATTAAATTATATAACTGCAACTTCCGGGTTATTTTAAACCATAAAACCAGACTCACTTTTTGAGTACAATCTCAGAGGCTCCCTTGCTGTACATCCGGAAGCTACCGTCAGGCAGCTTTATGACAGTGCTCATCGACTTCCTGACAGAGTTGAAGGTATAGACTTTGTAAAGCTTCTCCTCTGGGATCTGGTTTCTTATTGGCTGGTAATCCCGCTTCAGGTCCAAAACTAGTCCCAGCAGGCCACACTCTGTCTTGTTGCCCACCTGTTTCGGCAGACCGCCTTCCTTATCTGGGGGCTGTAAAATGAGGGACAGGAAAAAAAAAGATTTAAATGTGTTCAGTTATATTTTTAGTCTAATATTAAGTAGGCATGCTAAAAAAGAAGTCCTAAGGTTTTACGCATCAGGAAATAATAAAAATAAGCTGGTCTTTAGCAAGTTTTACAATTAGATAAATGCAACCGCAGATGAGCAACAAAACATGACATGTTACACCTTTCACTACTTAACAAAAACTAAGCCAATAAAGAATCAGTGATGTGAATAACTAAATACACACACGCTTCCATAGGAACTAAGAGGAAGTCAACAAGCAGCAGCCACCAGGTGCTGCTGATCAAATGCTCTTAATTAACTGCACTTGATTAAAAAGTTGTCTAGAGCATTGAGGTGTGTGTTAAACACATCTGCAATGATCTTTAAGAAGCACAGATTTATGCTTCCTTAGCAAGAAGAATCTGGATTAAACATTAATCTGGGAAAGACTACAAGCCTATTTCCAAACAATTTTTACTCCATTATTTTACAATGAGAACGATTTGGGGTGGGGGATCAGATCCAAGATGAGACCATGCAATGCTGCAAAAAAAAAACCCCAAAGAGCTACATCTTAGACTAAATGCTGAAGTTCATAACAGTACAATTAAAAAAAGACTGAAGTGAATTATGGCTTGTTTTGGAAGATCTTCCAGGTTTGGAAGGGCTTTTTTTTTTTCAGAAAGAACATAGCAGCAGTTGCATCTGAACAAATCACACGACTTCTGGAACAATGTACTTTGGACAGATGAGCCCAAAATGAAGATATGTGGCCATAATGCACAGTGCCACTTTTGGGGAAATCCAAACACAGCATATCACCATAAATATATGATACAAACTGTCAAGCATGGTGGTGGCGGGCTGGTGATTTGGTGTTTTGCAGCCACCAGACCTGCACACTTTGTAGCCCCTGAATGGATCATGAAAGGTTTCTAGTCAATTATAAGGACATCTTCCAGACAGCTAAAGTCTGACTGAAAATGAGTCATAAAAGAGGACAATGACGGCAGAATGACGGCAGTGATACCTTAAGAGAGCTGTGCACAAACAAACGTCTGCAAACGTCAATACAAGTTGAAGGTACTGAGTCATGGGATGTACTCAGTTTTTCACAGAACTCCATGACGTCAGAGATTTTACCCTCTTCTTTTCCATGACTGTACATAGGGCTTTACTTTTTTTTTTTTTTATCTATCTGTAATTGTTATTCACTTAACTGCAACTTAAGATAATTTTACAACATTGTTACACATATTGTTTCTACCTAATCCAACACTTCGACTTTTAAATGTTCTTAGTTTGTGTTTCCTCATAGGGTAAATGAAAATATTCCTGCCACAGAGAGTAAGTTTCCAGTTTAATATATTTCATACACTCATGTGATCTATTCACTGAATGAGATTCTGTCTCCTTCAGCTCAGTGCGACCAGTGTAATGCTTGAAATAGCTGCTGGTGATAATTAACCAGCTAGCAGGTGAAAGGGTCACTTTGTGTGGGAGGGCAGAAGATGAGATAGATGGAATCAGGTTTAGATCGTCTTATTTCAGGCACACAGCTCAACCCTGTGAAGTCTGTAATTGTATACTTGGAACCATGTATTGCTCTGGTTCAGTGAACATGTCAGTGGATAGACATAGCACGTAATATCGTTTTCTACCTAACATATGCAAGTATGGTTGGAAATGTGTTGTGATAGGCTCATAAGTACTCTGTGTTTTAGGTGTGCATCCAGTGTTTTGGGTTTATTAGCAGCCATGAGGAGTAATTTCTATTGCCAGTTGTGTGTGTGTAAGTTTGTGTGTGATACAGTATCTGTGCAGGTGGCTACAGTACATGTGTGCCACCATGTACACACTCACGCTACGAGCAAGAGTGCGAATGTTTGTGCATGCGGTCAGCTTGGGCCCAGCGTTGCCATGGTAACATTGGGCAAAAGAACAAGAAGAACACGAAGAGACTTGGGAAAAGAGAGGGTGCACTCTCGACCACTTGGGGATTCTTACTCCTTGGCTCCATTGCTCTTTCACAATTTTCCCTCATTTCATGTCACACATATCCTCAAATCCTTCTGCGTTTCCTTCTTCATCTTTTCCCAGCCCCCATTCATTAAAATTTCCAGAGCTTTATTCTATTTAGGAAGAAATAACGCATGTACAGAAACTACTTGTCACTATGACAGGATAAATCTCATTATAGTCAATATCTTAGTGAGTAAAGTAAGTAAAACTTTATTTATATAGCTCCTTTAAAGATATAGAATCGCTTAAGTGCTTCGCAAGGGCCAAACAACGCATGAAAAAACAAAGGAAGAGCATTCCAGTCCAAAGTCACAGAACCTCAGGGACCTGCCAGGGACATATGAGTGCAGACGCCCTCTGGTGTAACCAGATGCCTGTCCATGAAAAGCTCTCCATGTCAGTAAAAGAATCTTAAACTGCATTCTGAAATAAACCGGAAGCCAGTGTAGCTGCATCAAGATTTGAGTCACACATGGAAACTTGGAGGATTTTATCAGAAGTCTGTCAGCAACATACTGAACAACCGTTCTAGGGAGGTTTTGCTAAGACTTGTGTATAGTGCACCGCACTAATCCAATCGCAATGAAACAAAAGCATGAATCTTACAAAGACTCATATGTTCAGACACATCTCAGGAGCGATCCCTGCTGTTATTATTCATAACACGCCTCTTCAAATCTGCACACACTCTCAGCCCTATTTACATTTGACTAAAATATAAAAACATAAAACTAAATTAAAAAGCTGTTCAACTTCACTCTTAAAATAAATAAATAGTGTGCTCAGATAATGTTAGAAAATAATGGGAAATGACTATTTACTGTATCACTGTTTTTCTAGAAAGAAGTCAGACAAATAGATTATGATAGTAGTTGCAACTCATTTTTTAATTTTTACTTTATTTCACTGTTTCAATTGACTAAGTAAAAAAGTAAAGGTAAATAATAATTTTGGGGTAATAAATTATATTGGCTGTATACATGTTGGAAAAACACAGTTAATCATATCTGGGAATACAATCCCGATCCCTATTAGCTGGCACTGAGCTGACAGCTAGTCTCCCTGGGATACTACATAGTACCTACAGCATGTTTGACACCTACACTCACTGCTAAAGAACAGCTTGTCGGGTACACTGTCTTCTTACACGCACGCACACACAGCAGCATGTAGCAACCGCATTGAAAATAATGCTTCTACCTTGGTTGCTTGATCAGCAGACACCTTCAGCTTGAGCTATTTGCTCCAAAATAGATTGACTGCAGGCTGTTCTACGTTAAACAAGCCTGCGACCGGGATTAGATTTCAAAGGACGGCTTGGCATTTTGACGATTTGTATTTGCCTTTATTGCTGTTTTCTTCACTTGGTCCTTGTCACAGTGTGTTTAGAAAGATTCTGTGCTGGCACTATAGTTAATAACGTTGACGATGCACTCCATTTAAAGCTGCCCACATGCTAACGAGGCTTTGATAGAATTCTGATTAACTGCTTTGATATCCTTTTTAAGGTTAATGATACACAAAAGGCCTAAGAAGAGAAAAGTATGTGGAGTGAAAATACTTGGAGGGCTCTTTCCTCGTTTCACCAGTTATTCCTTATGTGAAACAGCATGGTGGTGCTGCGAAATAGCACCAGTGACTCCCAGCAAGGTCCTGAGTTTCAATCCACCAACTGGGGTCTGACTCAGGATACTCTGTTTTCTCCCACAATCCAAAGATATGCATGTTAGATTAACCGGTGATTTGAAATTGGTGTAAATGTGACCTGGGCAGGCTCCAGCCCAACCACAACCCTGAATTGGATATGTGGATGGATTTTCCTTATCTAAACAGAAGTCTAAATAAAGAAGTTGATTTGCAGGTTTTGAAATAATTTAAGGTAAATTTGTGATTTTAGGCTAAACAACTGACTAGAATTTAACTTTATCACATCAAATGCTTTTAAAAAATTTAAAGTGTTATGCCACTGCCGCTATCAGAATTGGTACTAAAATGATTACCAAAATCAATTTTTATGTTTCTGTAACGGTTAACCCACCAGCATGTGCAAGCCTTTTAATCAACACACAAAAACACATTATTATTGTTTGATTAAGATGCCAAATTACAGTTATTTACTTGCATATAAAAATTTGTTTTAATGGTTGAATTAATTTCTGACTTCTTGTGCCAGCTCAAATTTGGGTATAAAAAATGTGAATTCAGTCATTTTCAGTTTTTGACAGATTTTTAAAACATTTGTGTTGTCTCGTTTTTATGGCAGGGGTCCTAATAAATTTGTTAAGCACTGTATCTGCTATCAATATTTGCTTTAGAGGCTCATATTTTGAGCTCAATATTTCTGACCTTCTTGACAATCGAATATTGGATATTGATTAATTCAGGCTGAGGCATTTTTTTTTTACTTATCCTTGCAGCTGCTGAGAGCCAGTGGACCCAGCTGAAAAAGTCATCTAAAACCTCATTAATCATTAAACCCCAATCAGAAGACTGGCCCGTCCTCACCTAGTAATTTGACATATCTGGTTTTTATCTAGCTGTATGTCTCACAGAGACAGACAAGAGCATAAATACTTTATACAGAGTTTATGGTAAATAATAGAATTAATGCCTTTTTCTAATGACCAATGATTACATCAGGAAGACACTGCCTGTCATTGGCAAATGAGGAGATGGAACAAATGGTCTCATCTGCCCTGTCTGCTAAGTGTTTGGGAGAATAGGCTCCCAGCCAGAAGACCAAATCAAGTTAAACCTCTAAAATGAAAATGACTGAACAAAATGACCAAAATGAAAAACGCACAGTGTATAAAAAATAAATGGTAATTTTTAGATCAACTAAATCATACAGAAAACAGTCATTACTCCATTTAAATGTTGTGTAATGGCTGCCTTCATAGTCCATCCACCCATCCATCCATCAATCCAAATACAGTATATTAGAGCAGTAAATACTTAAC